CCAACGGATTCGATTTCTCATTTGTGTAGGCCTTTAAATTAATCTATTTAGTCTCATTAGTATTCACAATTGAAATAGCCGTCTCTCCATTAGCAATTCCGTAGCACTCCGAATTGGCATATGCAATGAAAACTATGGTGTATATTATTCAATATCAATCTTTATAATCTTCATTCTGTTTGTGTACTATGGCTGAAAGTTCACTTTTCGCTTCCACTTCCTGAAGCGATCAACTTTTCCTATCTGCTTGCTCTTATCGATGTACCAACAGGAAGAGTAAAATTGTACACTTGCGATTGACTATATTAGGAAAGAGTACATCAACAGTATAACAAAACATGTAGTGATTTGCTAAGAGTGCAACAAAATATGATCAAATCAATACCTTTGCAGATGATGCCATCGATGACGCTGTTGAATAGAAGTCATCGTGATACTGACCGCCGAGTTTCAGCTTCTTCAGGTCAGTCATCTTACAGATGAACTGAGCGAGATCACGTGATGTAGAGGGACATTCACTGAGATCACCAGAGTGGATGTTAAGAGTCTCAATCTGTTGTAATAGTACGACATCTTGTTGGATACACAATTGCTGACATTACTATACTGAATTATATATAACATTACATTTTTTTTTGCTTCCACTAAAAGCGTGATTTTTGTCCTAATTGTTTTTTTCTCAACGGCGTACTAGTTTATACAGTAAAATTACCCAATTTAGTTTGACTATCGAAATAATAATAATAATAGTAATGTAAACTTATAGAGCGCACACACCGTCCAGGGACGCTCATGGCGCTAGCTCAGCAACAGTTCTCTTTGATACAAGTAAAGTAAATAAATTTGCAATATTTGTATAACCTATTTCAATCCTCAGCTCTGCCCGATGGGGCCCGGTGCCCTCCAGCTGCTCCGTTCACTGACAATTTAAGGGACTTGCCCAGTCAGCACATTATTCACAGGAGCTCTAGCATCTGAGGCCAACAGGCCCCACACGGGCAGCCAACGAGACTAAAGGGTGATAACTAATTAATTTCAGATGTATATACAAATAACATATCAATTATATATTTAGTAAAATAAACTTATACAACTTAAGGAAATACTGGGTTACAGATGGAATAGGTAAGTCTTAAGACGAGTTTTAAAGGTGGAGTATGTTCCAATACATCGAAGTGATGAGGGAATTTGCAGCTTCCATAATTTGGCTGCTGCGTGCGAAAAAGCATGGTCTCCCCATGAATGACGGGTACGGGGAATTTGCAGCAAATTATCACTTCCAGATCTTAAGGTACGAGTTGGATTGTAGGGGTGTAGTGAGTCTATAATATATTGTGGTGAAATTCCACGGAGAGCCCGATAAACAAGTAACCTAATTTTGAAGTAGACCCTTTTCTGGACAGGTAGCCAGTGAAGAGAGCGTAATATAGGCGTAATAGAAGACATTCTTGGTGCGAAAGTAAGGAGTCTTGCACTGGAATTTTGAAGGGATTGCAGTCTGTCTTGCTGCTGTTTTGTGAGTCCAAATAGAATAGAATTACAAAAATCTAAGCGAGATGAGATTAATCCATGGATTAATTGGTCACATGCATTTTGAGTCAGACATTTTCGTATGAACTCAAGGTTCCGCAGTTGTTATCTCACAGACTTTGATATGCTAGATACATGTTGAATAAATGACATATTATTGTCAAATATCACACCGATGTTACGGACCTTTGAGGCTGGCTTTAGAACTTTGCCACCTACATGCAAGCTTAAGTGAGTATGATTTGCTCTCAGTAATTCTTAGAGCCCAAAATAATAAACTCTGTTTTATTTTCATTTATTTTAAGACCGTTGGAATCCATCCAGCCTTTACAATGTATCCCCCACCCGTCATCTCGGCCGTGTAATATCCGATTAACGCGACAATTGCATGCCTCTCCTCTGTCCCGTAATGAGCAATATATTTGCCCCTGATATGCATTCGAGATAGAAAAAAAATATATATAGCGTGATTCAATTGTGCAGAATTTGTGATTAAATGCATTTTTCAGAAGACTCTATATTCTTGTCTCTAGACATGTTTGGACTCTTGAAAACGATACTATATTGGAGAGATATTTTCCTTTCTAAGAAATAAAAATATTCATTATAGGTTTTATAAAACTTAAATATGCATACGTGAATGTACTTTAAGTATGCATATGGAAATTACATATTTGTGAATGTTCAACTGTACAAGCATAGAAGGAATAGATTCATTACAAGGGTAAAGGAAAGGGAAAAGAGGAAAATAAAGCAAGTGTTTGAGTGTGTGGCAAAGAGAGAGGGAGAGAGAAACAGGGAGCAACTTGCTTTTGCACCAGCTTTTCGTTGCAAAGTGAGTTCCTTTTTTTGACCGTGTTTCAGGACGAATACGAGTGAAGGAAAGGTGGAAATGATTGGATTGTCTGGTTGGGTATTGTAATGGTATGTACATATATTATACTTTTAAACATGCTTAGTTAAACAGTGCATTACATTACGACAATATGTACTGGAAATTTACGAGTTTCAAATGAGAAAAGTTTAGCTGTGTGATTTAGATTTGTTATGAATTATTCCAATGGCTATCTGTTAAACAGTAATTTTATTGGAAAGGTTTTGATAGTGTTCTCCAGATCCTTTATCGAATATTTCCAGACCATTGCAACGGTTGCCATAATAGTCACCTTTAAGGAGAAAATAAATGACATGAGTTGAAGAATATCAGCGATGAAAATAACATTTTGCAATATAAAAGTGAATATAAACTTATACAAAGAGTCAAGCTATGGTTACACAATTTAGCCATCACTAATCCAAAGGCATAATCTTCTCCTTTTTTCGCAAACAATGTTATTTATAATGCTAAATGTATTACTCATTGCGGATATAGTATCGAAAATAATATCGCTAGTGACCTTCATTTGTCTCGCAATGTATGGTTAGTCTGCAAGCACAGACCCTAATTTGACACTTTATCAGTACATCGTACAGGGCTTATGGTAGTCTTACAGTGCAGACTCTCTTTACGACTGACCAGGGTTTGTGTCTGCAAACTAATGTATGGTCAAGGTGGACCGTAGTCTTTAAACAAGGCCACATGTCTGATAGATGCCGAGCGACTAAAAAGATCCTAATCGCGCAAACCCGAGTGAACGACAGAGCACTCGATCATCTCAGCCGCTGAATCCGATGGAAAATAGCCAGAGTCACGAGGCCTTGTCAAAAGGCTAGGTGGACCGGTGGCCGGGCCGGCCGGGACCGGTGGTCAGTCTATGGAGACTCAACTAATTACACAACTAGGCGTTATGGCGTGCGCCTGTAATCCAACTAACAGTGGAAGTTACAAACTGATTCCGCCGAGGACGCAGGTTCTAAACTGAGTCACGTCTTTCGGATGGTGACGTTAAAAGTCGGTCCACAGACGTAAATAATCATATCTGTTTGATATACGTCTGTAAAAACCCAATTACACACACACACACACAAATAATTAGAAAAATAACTGACAAGGCCTAAAGCTATTGGTCGAAGCACACGGGTGCACAACCAATCGCTGGATCGATGTAGTCTGCAGGCACAGACCCTAATCTGACACTTAATCAAAAAATCATTGTGCCTTGAGAGAAGTCTAGCCCAGCTACCTACTGGTTGTGTCAATATGTGAAGGAGCAGCTACAGTACATGGCCTATGGTAGTCTTATAGTGCAGACTCACTTTTACGACTGACCAGGGTTTGTGCTTGCAGACTAGGATCGATGCGGGCCTCGTGCACGAAGACTTTCGTCTACGGCTGAATGTCAACGAAACGGAGTTAAGTCTTTTGTTAATTCCGTTTTTTGCTACGGCAGACAGCCAGTGAAAACGAATTCGTTTAATAAAATTATGGAAATGCAAGCACTACTTTAAACAAACAGAACTCTGTTATTTCTAGCCCATTTTTCCTGATTGAGGTGTCATATGAAAGATACCGTCCGCCAAATGACTTTTTGGTTTCCTTCCTTCAAATTGCTTTTAATCGCTCATGCGTAGTATATGCATCATATAAGTTGCATCAAATGAAAGAAGAGGATCTAAGCTTACAAATATGTGTCATTTATAAATTATAATTATGATTAAGTTATGATAAAACATCGATAATTCTCGGTTTCGTTTTTTCTGGGACGTACTGTACATCTCACCGACTTCAAACTTCTGCATTGATATAGATCACGAGGATCGAGCAAGAATACCGACACAACTGACCCGACACAGCAATATATTTATGGGTGACTTTCTTGCTCCCTCGATGAGACGACTTTACCCAACAACCCCCTCTCTCTTTTACTCCCTCTCTCTCCTCTCTTTCATCCCCCGTGTCTCTTGTGTCCCTTTCTCTCTTTTTCCCTTTTCTTTCTTTTTCTTTCTTTCCTTTCCCTTTTTTTTTCTCTTTCTTTCTTTCTTCTCTTTTCTTTCCTTTCTTTCCTTTCTTTTCCTTTTTTTCTTTCTTTCCCTTTCCTTCTCTTTTTCTTTTCTTTCCCTTTCCCTCTCTTTTTTCCTTCCCCCTTTTCTCTTTTTTCCCGACGGCATCGCAATTTTACCGACAATATCCTGACAGGTGGGGGTGTCGCACCCCCCCCCCCCCCGCTTTGGAGACGCCCCTGACCATGGCACAGAGAGCATGAACATAATATACATCCTCTCTGCCACGTACCTACAACAAAGAGTACATCGACAACACAAGTCATATATACAGGCACTACAGACTAGACTCTCCGCGAGCGGTTTCATTGGAATTAATCGAGCTTTCCCCCTCGCTGCCGTGTAAATAAAAAAAATACGCATGCGGGCCGGCTGGACAGGGAGTGTCGCGTATCGTACGCATCCAAAATTCGGGGATATCGATCCCGTTGTCTCTGTTGAAATATTAGGGACTTTTAGAGTGAGTGGATTAATGTACTTTTCTAAAACCAAATCTCTGTTTCCCAGTATTCTCCTAAGTCATTTCGATCTTATGACACCAGGAAAACTATTATCCTGACTGAATATGGCATCCTTTTTTTTAAAGAATGATGTACTAAACAAACTACAACGTGGATGATACAAAGATTTATACTGACCTTGGAATCGACTGCTTTATTCGCAAGCACCGAGTAGAAATCATGCATAGTACCAGTAACTCGAGTAAGATCGATCGTCACAGATCTGAGTGATCGTGATGAGCACATGAATTCAGCCAGGTCCTCCGAAGCCGTCCTTCCACATGGCTTCTCAATAATCAGGTCATCCTGCAATGTACATGTCAACAAATAATATTGTGAGGCTAGAAACATAAACCATCAACATAATCGTATATTATCCTGATTAATCACCTTCATTGATACTGATTTTTTAATAATCCTTTTTTTTTCCTTCCATTTTCCGTTTGGTTCTTATTTTGTTTTCATATTCTAGATATGGATATGAACATTAAATAATATCTTAGCAACATGACGCATTTTAATGGAAGTATTGTGATCCCACAAATTATTTAAAAAAAATGAAGTTAGCGTTTTATCATATTGGTTTAAACAGTATACACTTGAAACTTGAGATTTTTATTGGGAATGGTGATATTAAAAGCGTTATTTTATTAAACAAGGTTTCATTGCAAATACATGCAAGACGGGTTGTACTGCAATAACAATCAATCACAACTTCTATTAACAGACTCAAGTCCTAATACTCATTAATTCTTGTTAATAATAGTTAATTTTGTTCGTGTACATTGCAGTGTTCAAATTAAAAGTGATGATCGAAGTTGTACCCATGCTAGAACCATAGAAGTTGCTTTAATTTATTAAAACATGCTCCTGATTTAAATAAAATGTATTCTATCAAGCTTCTGGGTGAATTTGGGTGACGAGACGTTTGTACAGTATGCATTGCCTTATTAGCGCATGTTGGGGTTCAAAGCATCGTTCGTAAACACTGTATATGTATACAGTCATGTGTTTAAACCAAACGACGTCATCCTATTGAAGACTCAGAGAATGAAATTTAAATCAAAGAGAAACTCTATCACTCAAAAAGATCAAACAAAGATGAAAAGTATACGTTGTTACAATGAGATGTTAATACTTTCCTTACCACTTCACGATGGTTCAAGATGAAAGTATGCCCTGATACTGTGTGTGCCTGCATCCTTGTGAAGATCTTCAGTGTCTTTCTGGACGTAGTCGACAGATGATCCGCCACGGCTTTGGCCACTGCTTGGTCTTGGCTCTCATATGCTACATCTACGATGAAGTCATCATCAATACGGCCCTGTGTGCGCTTTGTTTTTGCCTCTATGAGACGAGATATGATATCCAAGCCGACCTCCTTCTGCTGAGCCGAGGTGAAGTACAGTAGGTACCGGTATTCCAATGCTTCCCGTGTGATATTCGCTATCAACATGTCATACTCATTACGGTTTGACTTGTAAAGGGATGCAAGATACATTCCTGATAGATACTCCTGGAAGAGCTTATGAGGAAACTGCACTGATTGGACTACTGAATTCGGAGTATTTCTTCTGTCTCGCCTCGGAAGATTTTTTTTCTCTCTGGTGAGTACACCAACTTTACAACCTACATCGATGGACTCTGGATAGCTCTGAAACTCTTCTTCTGTGAATACTAACCGTCTCTTGAGAAGTCCCTGGAAGGCAATACGGCCAATGTGAATCAGGTGTGGACGAATATCTGAACAATGTTCCCCTAATTTGCCTTCAACAATACCTGAAGATGGAATGTGCTTTGATAGGTGATGATCAACCAAAAAGTCAATCATCTGATTGAAGAGCTGGGAAAATGTTTGCAGCTTGGACATTGCCTCTCGGCGCTCTCCATCAAACTCTTTCCACATGATACACAGCATGGCTGTGTATATGGGGTATGGAGCCATGTTTTCTCTGATCACATCGTTGTTTGATATGAATCGGTTCAGATCTTCAGAGGAAGCTGCGTCTGGATGAAAGAACTTGGTGATGTAAGAAGAAAGGTTTTCAGCAGAGAAACCTTCTACAGCAATGAAAGCAAACACCTTTCTAAGATCGGCATTCATCCTAATCTCATCTGATCTCCATTGTCTCGATGTGATTAGTACTGTCCCTGACTTGAACAGACGATTGAGAGTGATCAGGCCGATTTGCTGATTGCTGTCAAGATCGACAGCAAACTCATCTAGGCCGTCCAAGACAAGAAAGATGTCATCCGGATTTGAGAGGATGTGCTTGTCTAGCTGTTTGGCTGTGACGGGATTGTTGTCAGAAAGATACGACTTCACTATCTCTCCAACAGTCTTGCCCTCTGTCTTGCGAAGGAGGATGACAAGAACCAGTTTGAAATCTTGGTAGCCTTTTCCGTTGATCCAATCCCAAGCGATCTTGGCGCAAAAAGTGGTCTTTCCTACACCACCTTCACCTTCTACCAACAGGCGTTTGGGAAACCTTTCGTTGACTTTAGTCCTGAGGAGGTCGTCGTAGAGAAGCGGTGTTTTGCGTTTTGTACCTTTGTCTTCTTCCATCAACGTTAGATTGGTGAAGATACGTTTAAATTCAAGTACAAGTTCACTGTTCAGTGGATCGGCTTGAATCTGACATAGATAAATTGTCATATAGTCTTTGACCTCTTCAGCAACCCGTTGGATTTCCTCCTCTGTCAAGGACGGTATGTGATCACCAACCTGATCTGTGATGAGAGTGGTGAAGAACGTTGTCTTAAACATGACTAGAAAAATATGACCAGTGGTTTAATATCACACAACATCAGTACTAGCATCAGTAACAACAACAGGACATAATCATGAAGCATAGTAACGTATCAACAGAATACACAACTTCCCAAATCTCTATTTAAATTTTCATGCAAATCAGGGGCAAACAATTTTTCTCCTAGGGGCTCTCACTTTGTGTAATGGGTTGACGTTGTACCTTGAAATCAGTCCTCCAGGGAAGGGTTACTTAGGTCAATGGTAGAATGTCAATCCCTTTGGTCAAAAAGTGAGGTTTGGAGCAATCTTATCCTGCGCAAAGTGTCATATAAAATGTGCATGATCTTGTACTTTTCATAACTAAACAAATTAAAACGATTGTCTACTCTAAAGGTACGTTCCTTGTTTGTTAGGCATACCAGTCATCACGTTGCGTGTGTACGCATGTATATTCCTCGTGTCCACACACTTGTCATCGTTTAGCTATACCGAAACGGTATTAAATTTTGAGGAAAAGTGAACAAAAATTCGTTCATTTTGAAAAGATATACTGTTTACAGTTATACCGTTTCGGGATAGCCATACGATCAAATTGTGTGTGTGTACGCTTTAATACTAGCGATACGTCATATTTGAAACGTCGTATAACGAAACGCGGGTCTGGGCATCGTTTCGATGAAGAATCATGGGCTGTGCTTAACGTGACCGCACTCAAAAGGAGACATGACCTCTCATTTCTGCTTCCGTTTCATGACCGCAGTAGCAATCTGCGCACATATACGACGTTTCGCTGAATAGAGTTTTGGATACTTGTTCTTGTGCGTGTGGACGCCCGGTTCGCTATACGATGATTCTTTATACGACGTTTCTTTATAGAGTTTCGGAAAATTTATTTTTGTGTATGGACACGCTGTATGTGTAATACTGTACCTTTCTGTACGCTATCAGCAAGCTGTACCAGCTTAATTCGTTGTAACGTGACCACCAATGCCTCCCTCGCCTCGCTTTCACGTACTCTCTTCCGCCATTCGTAAAGCATCTTATATGTAGCATACAGAGTGTTGCCCATCTGATCTTTCTCAAACCGACTTAGTTCAGCCTCAGTGAATCCTAAAGCTAGTCCGACCTTCCTAAAATCTGATGGATCCATACTGTCAGCAAGGAGATATAGTTCGAGGTCGGTCAGGTTCCCAGGTCTAAATCATTAGACAAAAGAAAGAAAAAAAAACATATACAGCTTACATATATTTGTGAGGTTTTTTAATCAAAGGTCTTTCCTTTGATTATCATCTCGAGTGAATACCCTTGTTTGGATTGCATTAAAATATGACTATTTTCCAACATTTGCTAGAATGCAAGCACTCCAAAAAAATTGCAAAATATAGACCTGTTAACATAAGGGAAATACGCGAAACTTCTACTGCCACCATTTGCTTTCATTGATCAATTGGTATATTCCAATTAATATTTTTTACCAACAAACTCGTTGGCTCGTATTCTGCCAAAATTTAGATCTCGCGTTGGGTTAAGGCTTCAGTTTATAATCGGGTTTAGAATGGAAATTAGTCTGAAGTTTAATGAAGTTTATCTTTAAACGTTATCTCCTACCAAGGGTCGGGCGTACCCCAATGAACAGAATAAGAACCAAAGTCGCTCTTTCATTGTGCTTACTTATCATTTGGGCCAGGGTTTTGTTCTACATCACCGGATCTCAATAGAAGTATGTTGGTCACGTCTGGACAGTCATTCCCTTTAGTTTCATCTGCTTCACCACTGGTTATCCCTGAACTGAGGACCGGATAGATCTGGGATTCACGATACTCCGTTACTTCCTAAGGATGAAGAGAAAATTACGAATAGATGACACAATTTTAATTCTGAAAACTATCATCATGTCATACTGAGATAACATTATTGTGCCACAATGTATTTCTTGCGGGGATCTTTATATCAATGGTTTCTAGTTTATTCTTAAATTCATAATACAACAATAATTAGCGGAGGCAGATGATAGAAGGGTGTACATGTAGCCATTGGACAAGGTGGGCGGACAATTCATGATATTCTGTTACTTATGGACAAAAGACGATTTTCAAAAGAATAATCAGACATTATTTTGAAGAAGAAAAAAGGAGAATCACGGGAGTATAAGAATTCTGTGAAAGGGTTAAGGGAAATTTAACCACTATTTTCGGTTGTCACAAACGTCATACCTACACTTCGCACAGCAAATTTAAATAAGCTGTCCTTTATAATGCATCTTATTTAGCTCCAATTTTCCTAGTTTCGTTTAAACCCCGTTTACAAAAAGAATTGTTTTATAAAGTTTTTATTCCGATTTATTGTTCGCATGTTTGTCTAACTGTTTTTTTTTTTTTTTGATGTTTTTATGTCAGTAGTGAGGTTCTAGAAAATGCATATCAATCATACCCTGATGGATGATGTTCTTTGGTCGGTATTATTCGTAGTATCTAGCCTGTGTTTAGGTGATAGGTCCGATGATTGGTCCTCTATCCCTGACGGTGCAGAGTCTGAAGTTTCCTCCTTGTCTCGATTGAAACGATCTGTCTCACCATGAACGTCTGCAGGTACATGTGAGTGCGACTCTGATGTGCCAACTTCAGGTTTGTCTGTTTTACTTATTTGAGCGGATTTCGGGGTGTATTCATGTGACATGAGATAAATGGCTATGTCTTTATTGTCCAATTCGTCTTCTACACAAGGTTGGGGAACTGGAATTGTCACGCCAGTGGTACCAGGGACAGGGTTGGTCTCTTTTTCAATTGAAGAACCACTGTTTTGAGCACATGAAGACTCAGAGTGAGAGACATCATTATGACCGGGATTGTTTACATCGCACGGGAATCCACTCTCCCTGACAGTATCACACTTTGGGCCGACAGATTGTGAGAGAGTCGGTGAGCTTGCGTTACCTTTGCCATTGTTGACGTCACGAGTAGGCCCTGTTTGAGCAGAAGATGCAGACTGACGGGCCTTGTTGCTTGGAGATCTATTCGCATCGGGAGAAGAGCCAGTGCGAGATGAGATGTTACACTCAGGATTGTTGTTTTCTTTGGGTAGCTCAGCATTCTTGGCTTTTTTCATTAAGTTGTGAAGTTTCCTCCAAAAGTAGTGGTAGTCGTATTCTTTCCTCCGACGTAGCATGAACGTGCCGATCCTGACACGCCATTCACCAAGAGACACAGGCATGGTGGCATCAGTATACTGTGTCATTCAAGAGAGAGAAAAGATTAATGCACAGTTAGTTCATGAGACCGGCAACATGACTTTGTATAAGAAAATAGTGTCAAAACTACCACCGGCAAAACGGCCCTTTGTAGAGGTGCAGTAACAAAAGCTTTATTGGAGGGGGGGGGGGTAGTTTTTTACGGGTTTATGGTTGTCGTAGATGTTTCTTGTGCGGGATATAAGTCCGGAGTAGCCATCCAAAAATGTCCTGAAGCTATGGCAGTCGCTGAATATTTTCAAATGCATTGTCAAACAAAGACAGGGTTACAAAGGAGCATCTGGAGAGTGGGTATGTATTATGTGTCCGCGCTGTGTGCGTGCTGTGTGTATGTGTGTGCGTGTCTGTGCATGCAACACAATGAAAAAATGTTGCCGTTGACTATTCCGATACAAATGGGAAACGGAGTATACATTTTCTCTTTCATGGGCAAGCAACAAATCAGAGTCATTAGGGACTTTTAGATTCGCACGAAGACAATGGGGATTGCTACGATCGACGTCCTTTTAATGCACTGCCTTGAATGGACGTCACACGTATCAGTCCACGCAAATCTAAAAGTCCCTATTGTCGTTAAGACATGAACACACAGAAAGTACAGCTTGCTGCGTCTGGTCCATGTGTGGTGGTATAAAGAGCAGTACGTGAGGCGCCGTACACAGATATACGCACAACCGTAGCACACAGCTGCTCGGGGTTGTGTAGTGTCACCTTAACCAGGGACTTGGGATACAAGTCCCTGCCTTAACGGTTCAGGGTTAAGGGGAATGTATGGTTTTGAGGAGGGTGCAATTAAGGCACTCGCGATGGATTGTAATGTCATGATTACTATTATAAGTAATAATAATAATAATGGTCATAACCGCATGGACCTCTGATGTTTTGCTAGCTGTGCACATAATACACCGGCGGACCATGCAAGGATCAATACAGTTAGGATATAACTGTCTGTGTAACTTCCAATAAACGTGTATACGCTCTAAGGCCAAATAAAAAAAAAACATGTTTAGCGTCCTGTTTTTTCGAAAAATAGGAAGGAGAAGGCCCTTTTTATTTTTTATTTTTTGTTTCGAAATGGCCGCTCAAAATGGCCGCTCGGTACATTTTCCCTGACAGTCGGGGCTATTTTTTTTCAAGATGGCCGCCGACAATTTTTTTTTTTTTTTATCAGAAATAGAGCCATTTTAGCAGTGTTTTTCATGTTTTTTTTTCTTTCAAAAAAAATAAATAAAAATAAATAAATAAATAAATAAAATTAAAAATTTCAACAACACAAAAAAAAAAAAAAAATAGGAGGCGGCCCCCAAAAAGGAAGCGGGCGGGGACGCTTAACATGTATATTTTTTAAAATGACCTAAATAGTACATTGCTGCCTGCAAATATCAATCAAGGTATCTTAATTAACATCATATTCATTCCGTGTAGGTAGGTTTAAATAGTGGACTTTTATAATCTGTAATCTATTTCCAGTTATTCGATTCATTTTCAGTTCAATTTTATTTCATTCAGTTAAAAAGACAACATTACATATAACAATCAGCTATATATAACATAAAATACACGTTAAGAACATATTAGACAAGGACATAAAATAAACTGAATAGGTTGCAATCTGAAAAGAAACATATTCCTTATACAAAGCTAATCCTTTTTATAATAAAAAGATATGAAATATATTCGTTACTAAACATTATACGATACACAAATCAAGACAACAGACATACAGACAAATAAAATATGTCTAGAGTTCAAATAATCAATTTGACCA